AATGAACTCATAAACAAATTCAATTATATAACGAGACTTGTCGGGTTAATAGGTCCCATCCATCAAACATGGAGGGGGGGGGATGGGGTGGGATGAGGGGGGGGGGTGGAAGCACGATATTTTAAGCTAATATTTTGGGAGTAAGGGTCATGTACAATTATTTGAACGGTCTCATTAGAAAAAAGGCCACGTTTTAATGCAAACCTCTTGCCAAGGATTGGCTAACAGAAAGTTTAGTTCAAAAACAAGTTTAAAATTYGTGTTTGACTTTTAGCTGTCTTTATTCCACAGCATGATTCAGTGAGTTTTACCCACAACCTGTTGTCCTGTTGACTGAACGCGAGTGTCGAAGGGGAACAACTCTTAAGATGAAAGTGTTGAGATTTGTGCTGATTTTCATCAGCTTGTTTTTTGTCAGTGAAGGAAAACAAGTCACCAAAACCAAAACGAATGACGATGTATATCATAATTATTTTGGAGGTGCGGCTAATTCCAAACAGTTTTCCGGTGCCCTGAAAACCATCGAAGAGAAATTGAATGTCATCATGGAAAAAATGGGAGCTTCGTTAAACAAAACTGGTAMGTTCTAGTATGAAAGAAAGTATTGTTGACAATTCTTAAAGCAATCATATGTCATTGCTATTCCTGTTAKTGAAGTTAATTTATCGTCGACTGAATTTGCATTATACAAACACAACGCTAGAAATTAACACAATTCTTTAATTTTCAGTGCCCAAAAACTGTGCTGAAGTTCTTAGAAGAGGTGGCAAGAAAAGTGGTGTTTACACAGTCGATCCAGGTGACGGCAAAGGACCGTTCAAGGTAAATTAACTTTACAAAATTGGATACTTTTTTTTTGATAAGTTGAATAAAACAATTGTAGTGTGAATGTGGAAGAGTTGAAGTCAGGTATCTTGTCATTAAAAAAAATTTAAATAATACTCAATTGGCTTTTTAAATAAATTTAAGAATAGTCTGTTCAGTGTGATATTTCGATTCATAGGTTTACTGTGACCAGAACACGAGTGGAGGTGGATGGACAGTCTTCCAAAAGAGACAAGACGGTTCAGTCGACTTCTATCGAGGTTGGGCTGACTACAAGAACGGTTTTGGTGACCTGAAAGGCGAGTTCTGGTTGGGACTGGATAAAATCAACCGGTTGACCCATCAGACTCGTAACCGTCTTCGTGTTGACCTACAAGACATCAAGGGGAAGAGTGCGTATGCTGAGTACGACTACTTTGCTGTGAGCAGTGAAAGAAGCAAGTACCAACTGAGTCTTGGAACTTATTCAGGTGAGGTAAATAGCTTATGGCTCCCTATTAACAAAAAAAGGAAAAGCGTTTGAAAGTTTGTAGTTTCTCTTGACAAAGTCATAGATCGTTTGTATAATTATTTTCCCGTAAGGATAGAAAGCATATACCCATTTCCCTTTCTTCTGGTTTCTTGTGAATCCGTGCAGAGATCCTCGCGCAACACCTTTAGCGCCAATAAAAACACATGGAATTGACTTTAACATCTTTTTACATAATTATCGTTTTCACTCGTAGGCRCTGCTGGTGACGCACTCTCCGAACATCGTGGTATGGCCTTCACCACCAAAGATCGTGACAATGATGTCACGAGTGGAAACTGTGCAGTGGACTACAAAGGTGCCTGGTGGTACAAAAGCTGTCACCACTCTAACCTGAACGGCCTGTATCACCACGGGAAAAATTCAGCTGCTGGAGTTGCCTGGAGTGGCTTCAATGGCTACACTGCTAAGAGAGCCGAGATGAAGATACGACCGGTATAAAATACTTGTTGTCGTACCACTCTAAATATCACCGAAACGTTAAGAATCAAGCTCTTTAGTATAAGAATAATATACTGTTAATTATGAAGAATGTAAAAGATAAAATTCTATTAGCATCACATTGAAGAAAGAATATTTCTGTAAAAAGTGTGTGCGGTAGAAGGCGTGACAGTCACGCATTGTTTGTCGACGAAAATCTTGTAGAATTAAAAAAGTAAAATAAAATACTGCAACATAGAAAATGGCAGTTGATTGGTTGAAATAGGGATTGCTAATCAGTTCCAAAATTGTTTTGCACTTTCATATCAAAAGGCGATAATACCAATGGACATGGTGGAATCGAACACTTCGTTGGCGACCCATTTCTGTCAACTTTGTATTATACAAATTATAAGTCTGTTTGAAAATAAAACTAGCGGTATTTTGAAATACCGCAAGCATTATTTTTTTAAAGCGCCTTAAAGGACGGCGAAAACGAAACATTTAAAGTTTGTTGATAAAGTTGACGTCAAAATGTTATCGTACTTTAGCCTAACACAGGCAACCCAGTAATTATTGCCACATATGTATTTCCTCTACCGCAAGTTAGCTAGATCACAAAACAAGAGTCGTGCTTAACACACGCCCTGTATTACCTCTTGACATAAATAAGGTTCCACCACATTTTGAAAATGATTTAGTATCAAGTAATGTACTTTTATTATTTAACTACTTTTGAGTTCAGTAAGACTAATAATGTATCAGAAGTTCGTGTTATTACATTGTTTTCTATTAAAACTTGCGAAATCGTACCAATTTGCTTTATCAACAAAGTAGGTTTTAGTAAACGTCAAAATAACTTTCCATGAAAGGCTTTCCATGAAATTTGCCTGCATAGACACATTCCTTTGAAACATTTGTTGGTTTTCCGTGAGTGTCATGGAAACACTCTACACAAAAACTTATGKTAGCGAAGGCATAATTCATTTAGCACTCTTTTAAGGTCTAATAGCAATAGCCACCAATAGAAGGTTGGCACCATCACGTGTAAAAGATTGTTACTGCCATTCAACATGGCTGCTGTCACGTGATGGCGCAGAACCTTTACTAATAGGTTGCTATCAATAGACGTCACTTCCGGTAATAGCTCKTTTTTAATGGCTTGTACAATCCTGGAGGTTGTTTTGATCTCTTGTTTTCTGGTTTGATGTCGTGAAAATAGTCAAATACAATAGTTTGGGGACTTATTTTGATATGTTTTGACTTAGCATCCGCTAGTTGCCCCCCAGTCAACTCCAAAAAGTCACGTGATTGATAGTAAGCAATATGGCCTTTGGTGTTCCAGTAGCAGACGTCTTAACGGGACATGACTGAAAAATTAAAGTGAATTCACTAAACCTGTGAAATATATAAGTGCATAATACACGGTATCCCCTAATTCCATCGTTTTCTTTTGTGTCTATTTGACTTTATTATATAGATATCGATGAAATACCAGGTTTTCTCTAGTGTCGAAAACTTGATATCTTTCACCAGTGGAAGATACCATATCTTTCACACGTGAAGATATCGCTGTTGAATCGGCTTGCTATTTTAATAAAGAATTTTTGAGCTTTTGTTTTATTTAAGTTTCATCAATATCTATATAATAAACAGAGCATTACACGGCCGCTTGGAGATACGAATTTTATCTTCGAGTGTTCGATTTAGATATCTCACTCGTGAGCGCAGCGAACACTCGAACACTCGAAGATAAAATTCGTATCTCCGCGCGCCCATGTAATATCCTCTATATTACACGTTGACTAGTGTTTTTAATTTTGCGMGTTTTAAAAATGTATTCTCTCTACTGCTACTAATTTGATACGTAAACTATCGTGAGCCCATTTACACATTTTTGAAAACAGTGAATGTGATTCATCAACATCCCGGGGGGGGGGGAGGTACTACCACCCCAACTTGGGTAGGGGTGTGCCGCCAGGACCTCAAAACCCTGACCCTATCCCAGACCTAAAATTTTGATTTTACATACCCTACCCCAGACTAAAACTAAGAATTGTACACCCTATTCCCAACTAAAAGACGGAAAAGACGGTTTTTCAACAAATTGCAATCAATATTTACTAAAGTTTTTATTGTTTTTGTGCCGGCA